ATAGAAATGAACTCGGAGCCTAAGTTTGCAAATTGATTGCATTCATTCTGATTGCTTTCTTTCGTGTCAGCTTCGATCGTCTTTATCGCCAACGTAAAATGAAAAGTCAACAATATCTTGGGTGCTGGTCCGCGAACTCGTTGTCTTACTATGTTTGTACTTGTGTTCATGTTATGTTCGCGTTAAATAAGATTTTGAAAATGTCGTCACTGCGTATTCGTCAATAATTTTGATGAAATTGACGTAATGGCATTGCTACTTATTAGTCACAAATCAGTAGGCTATATATCGACTATTCGTTCAGAAATCTTCGTTATGTTACTTCATTAAATACTTGTATTGGTGTTTCAAATTTTACGAAACGGCCCACTAAAACTTGATATTGCCGCGATATTGACGCACATTATGCTCATTCAAACATTAAATCAGTATCGTAGCTACTGAAAATGAATGAATTAAAACACTATAACGCAAATATAACACTCAATTTTGACGTGATGTGTGTGTTTCTTGCGTGGTCGCCGAAAAAACGCAAGTGTGTTGTGTAATGATTGGATTTTTTGATTCGGTCGCCCGAGAGTGTTATGTCCACACCCCGTTTACCAGATATATATTCGAATAGTAAACCGCTATTCTAATATTCGAATAATTTGTAAGCCCTACCCAGTAACCAGAAAGCAATTATTATTTTGATTGAATTCATGTTGATAAACTCGCCTTTTATGTATTATGTAATTACCTACACCAAAATCAGGACTTATCTGGTATTAAAGTTTGGTACAAACGTTTGCGGCCCGCGACCAATTTAGTCACGTGAAAGTGGCCGCGAGACGAAAACGGTTGGGCAGGCCTGACGCTTGGTGGAATAAAAGCCGGGTTTCCATGAATAGAATCTCGGTCCAAATATCAGTTCTCATGGGATTCATAAAAAAATTAGGAACAAATAAAAGTAATTGCCTTCAAGCGACAGCAACAACTTTCAACCACTGAAAATTTCGAAACAATTGGTCTCCAGTAGTTGAAGAGAGAAGTGATTTTTTCACAACAACAAGAAGAAAAATACCAAGAACAAGAACAGCAACAGCAAAAACAGAACAATAAATATGACTGGCTTTATTATACCTGATGTTCTTTATCATGTATTCGATTAGAACCATGAGGCTATACCTACCGTCCTACTGACCGACCCAGGTCACCTTCAAAAATTCCCCAAACTATTATTTCAAGCAATGTAGCCGAAGTGGGGAGCACCCTAACAATCTTATGGCTCCTAATATAATGTCAAATATTTATCTATACCTAATAGTTGATTAATTTTCCATACAGTATAAAAGCTATACTCTCGACAAAAACAGTAGTTCCTAAACTAAACTTCCCGATCTTTTTCATTAGATCCTTGGGTGTCGCTGCTCGATAACCAGCTTTGGTTCCTCGCGGCTTCCCATCCCCAGCTGAAATGTATGATTATCTTTTTTATTCGTATTTTGTGTAAAACTGACTTTTTTACTGGTTGAAAAAAATAAACTCGACTTGATTTGACGTTTATTTTACAGATATTATAACGTATTTTGTTCTTCTAAACTATTGAAAATTAATAAAAAGGTTGTCTGGCGGTGAGCTCTCATCTCTTGCTAGACGAAGACATTTTTCAGGCCGAAAGTTTTTCTCAAGACTTCAGCTTTGTAGAATCCACATGTATGGACTTGCACTGCTTCAAGTCTTGCATCAACTGTTTTCCCGGCCCTTGACACCAAAACTTTCTGGACACCAAGTGTACGCAATAATCGTTTTGGTTTTTCTTCTCTTTGCTGTGAAAAAATAGCTTTTCTCTTTAACTACTGGACCAATTGCTTCGAAATTTTCAGTGAGAAAAGATTGTTGTTGTCGCTAGAACGGTATTATTTTTTATTTATTTCTAAATTTTCGATCAACTCTTTGAGATCTGATATTTCATCCATTTCGCTGTATTATCTTTTAATCATGGGGACACGGATTTTAATCCACCAAGCGTGACGGCTGTCTTCCGTTTTGATTTTCCGATACCGGTGAAGCACTGTGGACTAGGTACTGTAAGTTAGCGTAAAAGTTAAAGTACTGCAAAAGTTTTGCTACTTCAGCTGTGACTTAATTATTTCGTATTTTCACGTTGGCGCAAAACGTATGAATCGTTATCGTCACAGGGCCTGGTGAAGCTAGGACAGTCCCAGTACCGGTACAAACAACCAGTGGTGAGATTTTGAATTTTTGTCAGCCGGTTCTATCACAAAATTCATATTTTTTCGCCGGTTTTGTTACAAACAGAACATTGACCGTAACCAGTAATGCTAACCGGTTCGCTTATCTCATAATATTCCGTGAGACGATTCTATAGAACCGGTGCGAACCGGCTGAATCCCATCACTGCATACAACCATAGGGTTGTCCAAAACGAATCGAATATTCGAATGTATTCGAATATCAAAGTATTCGAATACCTTTTCTGCTCTTTTTCGAATAATTCCGAATAGTAGCCACTTTTCGCCGTAAACGTGGTGTTTTGTTTTATGGGAATCTTCAAACGACTTCACGTATTGTAATGACGATAAAATAGAATCGGCACTTTGATTGTTTATATTCTGTGTGACCGTACGTCGCATAGTGTTGCGACACATTTGCACGTTTGCGTGGGTGGACATTGCCGACATTCGTCTACGAGGCTTTTAATTTACAAATTCATTTCCATTACGTCAAAAAATTGACAATTACCGTATTTCCGGGCAATAAGTCGCTTTTCTAGGGGGGCGTCTACTTGAGGAAGTATGTAGTTCTATGTGGCCTGTTTTATTCGCATGAGTCTTCTCAAGCATGATTTGTGTAACCTTATATTTGGGTCTTAGGGTCTGCCAATCATGATATTTAATCGCAGACCGGTTATCGTTACTTTAATAAAGAGAAACACGGCCACCGAGATAAAGTGATTTGTGACCCTTTTCGTTTTGCCGATTCAGCAGAACACGACAGGGACAGGAAAACACAGCTGTGAAATAACCCGTGGACGTACAGTGTATTACTTATCACATTCCAAAATTATTTCAACATTCGGGTTAATAGGTTGTCCAAAATGATTGCCGTTTTAAAACTTAAATTTACCACTCAATTGTTAAAAATAGTTAATTTGGTAATATGATTCTACCAAACTAACATGATCTGCTTCTAAACATATAAAATCATTAGCGCATATCAGCATAACTGAACAACAGGGACACAATTTTTCTACCCGTCTTATTGGGGGCCTGTATGGAAAAACCCCTTTTTGGGTGCTAAAAATAGACATCGTCCTATTTGCAATGTGGACTTATTAGCCGGGAAATACGGTATTTATGGCCGTCATTGTTACGATATCCAATAAATTGTCACAAGTTGGAAAAACAAGTCGATTTATTAGAAAATAATTTCTGGCAAATAATTCTGATAACGATAGTTAAAAGTATCGATCCTTTACCAGGATGATTTTTTGCAATAAATAATCCAATCAATGACTGGTACCAGCATTTAAAATGTCATGCCGTATTAATTAAATTCTGTTCAATGTTACTCATGGTTGTATCGACAATCTGTGGACATAAAATGTGTGGTCAACTGACCGATAATATTAAATATTGATTCCCATTTTTATATTGATAAAATAATGGAAGTATTAATACCAAATACCACGGGTATTTGTGGACATGAAATACGTGGTAAACTGCCCAATTGTAATTAATTTCGGATTCGCATTTGCAAAATAATAAAACTATCACAATTCTAAAATGCAACGGCGATCTGTGGCCTTAAAATGTGTGGTAAACTGCCCGATTTACAAAACATTTCAGTTATGATAATAGAATTAAATTAACACGTTCAGGCATATTAAATAGTGGTATCGGTCATGGATTCGAATATTTTGCGCAGCACAAAATCATCCTAGTAAAAAGTCCATACTTTCAAATACAAACTAATGGCAACCATTATCCAAATTAGTTCCCAAGAGCGGGATAAAGTATAAATTCTTTTTCCGTCGTGTGACAATCTTTCGTGAGTACGAAAATAGGAATCAAAAACTAATTATATTCGGCACAATATCACGGCAATCTGTGGACATAAATTGTGTGGCAAACTCGCGATTTATATTAATTTTTGATTCCTATTTTCGCATTTACAAAATACAACGGCAATCTGTGGACTTGGAATGTGTGGTAAACTACCCAATTATAAATAGTTTTTGATTCCTATTTTCATATTTATAAAATAATAAAAGTATTATTACTCAAACATACAACGGCGATCTGCGGACTTAAAATGTGTGGTAAAGTTCCCGAATATAATTAAATTTTGATTCGCATTTTTGTACTCACGAAAAAGTTGTCACAAGTCGGAAAAATAACTCAAATAATTTGGATGATGGTTGGTATTTAAAAGTATGGGCGTTTTACTAGGATGATTTTGTGTTACGCAAATATTCAAATCCATCATCGATACCACTATTGCCGTATTAATTTAATTCTGTTAACATGACTCGTGGTATATAAAATATATACTGCAATAATCTGCAAATATGAAATGCCTGGTAATATAGCTAGGTTGTAACTTGTAGATAGCAGTTATTCCATTGCTTATTATATGGAAATTCCTACATACATTTAGATAAGCTTCAATTAGTGGATTTTATTTTCGAAGTATTCGAAATTTCATATTCGAAAAAAATAATTTCGAATGTATTCGAAATAGTGAACTATTCGGTATTGGCCATCTCTGGGTCCATATGGTCCACAGTTCCAGCTTCGTGATTTTTGGGGAAATTGTGGCCAAAATATTTCGTTTTTTCTTTCGTGTCCATATATTTGAGAATTGCTCACTTATTATTTCAAGTTTTATGGGCAAAATTTGATCGATCTATGATGTTTTCAGGTCTCTGGAGTGAAGAGTCTGCCCACCAACCAGACGTTGAGTACAACGACAAATATTGTTGATTAGAATGGATGTCAAGTATAATCCAATTATTTAATAGCATATACAGATAAAACTTATCGACTGTAACAAAGTAAACATGATGATGTCATAAATCATTGATAGTACCGAATAACTGTATATGTTTTTTAGTACCCCGATTGAAGAACAAGCAAATTTGATCTGAATCTTCATGATATATAAACACAGAATGCAAAAATTTCAATTTTTATAAACACAGTGATATTGCTAGCGTATTTGTTTGTTGTCTCAACCTAGCTTAAACCTAAAAAACTATCGATATACTGAAATGGAATAAATATAATTTAATAGACAAATGAATAAATTTGATAACATTAACCTTATTAATTGATAACATTTTTTTTTTATCAAATATGACTTTTTCACTAAGGTTGCGCGTGTGACATAAATAAAACCGTACTGAACGTTTATTAAACCATAAAACTGCATAATTTGCATTCCTATATAAATTTTGAAGCAATAAGTAAATCGTTTTATCATATGTCGCTGTACATGCCTTGTGTAAGTTTTTTCAAAGATTAATTCAATTAATACAAACATTCAATCACTCACATATTCCACGTTTACATACATAATTAGGTTACAGTTATACATGGTCGGGTTTTCAAGAAGCCTGTTGAAAAAGAATGTGCACGTTAATGGGCATTTAACATTTCAGAGTTATCAAAGGAATGCAAATTTAACTTTAAGTTATCTACCTAACTTTTTTGGTAAAAATACACTGGTATGTTTGAATACTTGATAAGCTGAAACTGGATGTTATAGTGCTAAACGTGTCGCAAGCCAACATATTACATTCACGTAATACTTTCACTTCAGGTATTCCTGAAATTTGTTTCATTTTCAATTTTGTCTTGACCAAAGGACACGCTACATCTAGTTATCTCTGTCAAGGTGGTTTGATCAAAGAAATACCGCAATATAAATGGAATTCAATCGCAGATGGCTCCCTTTAATACATATAAGATAGTGCAATCAGCTGAGCATTAATAAAGTTAAAAATTCAAAAAAATATTGGGATTTCTTATTGTAATTGGCCATTCATAATAATTGAGATGGATCCTATTATTACCAAACTACAGACTTATAACATATTTAATAATTTTTACATACAATAAAAAACGAGACTCCCTGAAAAATTTACAGTTACAAGGTAAAGGGCATTTAAACATCAGAAGAACAATGATTAGTCGCAGTCGAAGTGCAAGCAGTGGGCTCAACGTCGCTTTCTGAAGGGTAAGGTTTTCTCAAAATCGGTTCGAATTTTCTATATATAATTCTACAAGGCCCGATAATAATTGCGATTGCTCCTCTTCGAACTGGTCTTGAATATATAAAAGGATTCGACATGCTGTTGAGTTGCATTAATATAAAACCAATACTTAATGCCTTCGAGATAACAGCGTCATCTTGAGGGCTTATCATGTTGACGATATTGAGTATTAAAATTGGCGCCCAACATAAAAAGTCTGTAAAAACCAGCCAAAATATTCGCTTCTGCATCTGGCGATTTTCTTTCTGTCTTACGTTTTTCATTACTTTTATTCGAGTTGCGTAAGACGTTGTCGAATCTTTTGATACCTTTCTATTTACTCGACTGACAAGAGTATTAGTTGCAAATACTTGACTGGTATTGGAAGGTCTTTTGTCTTTTGTAACTACCCCATTTTGTCTACTGGAACACGGCAAAGATCTCGTTTTGCGCATTACTATTGCGTAAGCTATAACAACAAAAGCATATGCAGATATATCGACAACGACTGATATGAATGTATATTCCCAAGCATGGCTTCCAACTTTGACGATAACTGAAGGCAAGCACATGCTAGTATGAGCGAAATAGCTATAATATCTCCAATTGCCAAACTGGGGATTTATCGTTATGAGAGCAGATTCTAAATCGCGCCATCTCATATTCTTATATATAGGTGCTGTAACGTTAGTCTGTGGAAATTTGAAAACTTGTTCTAGTACATATGCTTTGGTCAGAAGATCATTGACTTCGTTTCGTTCAATAACAGTCGCATCCACTTGAGGGAGATTTGGTATTGCAACAGCACGTAAGAAATAGTCTTCGATTTCGGGTGCAAAATCCATTGTTGGCATTTTTGCGGCAAACATTGCAACAACCCATATCATAATTGCAACAAATGATATGTATCTAACTCGAACGACAGCAAATGGTCGAAGTACGGTGTACAAACGTAATACGGAAATGACGAATATAGTCAGGATGCTAACTTGCGTCAAAGTGATTGCCAGGAACCCGATAGCCAAACAAAAAGAACCAGATTTCCAATTCAAATCATATTTCCAATACTGCCCGGACATAGTTGCATCCGAAACACCAATAGCCAGCATCTGAATTCCCAGCAACATATCGCTGCTGCTAAGATTAAGTACGAGTACCTGGTTTGCTCTTCTCGTTCGAATATCAAGGTTGCTACTTCCTTTTGCAAGTGATCGCATTGTTAGAATCACCACGGTCCCGTTTGCTGTTATTGTAATCAACCCAATAAGCCACTGCAACATAGCAAATATTCGCGATTTAATGGCGTAACTCGGAGATGCCATGTGTCTGAGTTGGTTGCCGTTACAAAAATCATGATGGGATTCATTTGTAATACTGTTTTTGGGGCAATAAACAAAGCGATCGTGCCATTCGTCTGAAACATCAGGACAGTCTTGAACCCCGTCAAACGTTCTTCTCCAGTCAATATATAGACCCGGAACACCACCAAACAGACTGCGATGAACTTTTGTTGCATTATCCCCAAGCGTGGATGAAAATGCATTCTTGTCATTTGAACAGTAAAAATATCTGTCACAGTTTTGTTCGTCCTCGCCATCTTCCAAATCCACCTTTCCGTCACATAGACAAACAGTGATTAATTTACCGGCGATTGTCCTTATGTCTGGATTTTTGCATTGCTGTGAAGTAATATTGATGCCACCTAATCTATAACAATGACGTTCATCACTTTCGTCCATACAGTTGACTAAACCATCACATAAATCGGCCGCGCTCACGCAAGATTTGCCGGGCGAGTTTGTTGCACATGATATCTCACCAACTTCGCATTCTTGGGATGAAAATATAGACTTACACAAATAGTGCGTTTCTCGATTTTCTTCTGTAATTTTATCGCATAAACATTCATCTGACAAATCATCGCAGTCAAAAATTCCATCACATAATTGTCTCCTTCGAATCTCTTGGTCGCCATTTAAGCATGGTCTTTTCTGGCAGAGTGTCTCTACCGAATCTAAACGGAGAAATAAGAGATGTATCAAAGACAACCGAATAAGGGATGTATAATTATTATTATAGTGTAGATTTGTTGTCCGTTAAATCGTCAATTATATTACTCAATTACTACTATTCTAGTCACAGAATTGTCCATTTTTAATAAATGTAAAAATAACAAATTTCCATTGACGAATTTTCTATCCACAATCAATATGAGATATAGTTTTCACTTAGTAATTTATTAGTAAATATATAAAATCATTCTTCATGCCTCTAACACGACGATTTTAAATTTAAAGCGATTATACGAGAGGATTTTCGTAACATATATATTAATATTTTCTGACATATTTACATTAAATACCAAAATGATAATATAAGGATTATAGAACAAAAAAGCTTTAATTTCACTAAAGATATTTCTGGACATATTGACGTTCTAAGATATTTTAAGATCTCCAGGCAACCGGTAAAGAGTCTTAATTATATATATACAGTTCAATGATTTCATGTTTGTTTAAGTTTTTTTTTCAAATTTAATTATATACAAGATTATGATTTCATTAACAAAGTCAGAATTTGTTCGTACAAATTCGTTTCCGAGTGAATATTTGTATAAAGGATCATAATACTTTTTAGTATACGCTCGCGCCGATTCATATAAGGATTATGTGAATGTAAGCTCCAATAATGTTATGTATTTCTTTTACAGAGCTTGAATCAAGTGGGATGTGTGGATGAACGATGCTGGCTATAGCTTGTCAACTATAGTCAATTTAGATCGCCCACTATAGTCGATAGCGTAGTTACATTATTAGAAGGAAAACACCACTTATGTTAGCGTGCTTTATCCATTTTGTTCTTGTAGAATTTTACGCCAGCGGCGCACAACGTTTAACTTGTTAGACCTCGCGTAAAATAACCACTATTTTACATTGATATTTTGATCGAACGCAAAATTGCGTTTGTTTGAAAGGGGAACACTGATTAAAAAAAATTACTGTTGAGAATAGAAGATTTCCCAGTCAAGTCATGCGGAAAAGTAGTTAATGGTTTGAATCATCTAATCACTAAATTATTTCTGGTGCTTTTCATTCAATAACGGAATAAAGGAAGTAAATGACGTATAAATATACTGACATTGATGGGATAATGTAATGCCATCATGCCACACACCACCACAACTCAGACATGCTATATCAGTGTTCTTCAACGTTTTTTTTTATCGTGGTATACCTTTTACAATATTTCAAGAACTTTGTATACCTTACAAATACCAATCTTTATTTAAGGCTTAAATAAGCATTAAATTTTAAGCACATATTGTATTGCAATATCACCGTGCAATCTAATAGGCTAGTATCCGCAAGTTATAAATTTGACTGAGACCTTAACGTCAACGGGAATATTGTTCAACGTAAATCAACCAGAGTGAATGGCAGCTGAAATCACCAACCCAGACACGTGACTGCATTATCTTTATAATTTGTGAAGTAATAATGTGCTCACGTCGGTTCTTTGCGTAAATGACATTTTATATTTCATGTGCGCCGCGTCTGCATTGTTGTCTCCGCTTTAATATTTTATAATTCAATATATCAGAGTTTAGAATTCCTGACTTAGGCTGCATACCCTTCGTAAAACTTTTATCAGTTGTATACCCAACCTATGTTCTAGTATACACTTGGGTATACCGTATACCCGGTTGAAGAGCACTGTGCTATATTATTAAGTAGATGCAGTATACGTGGATGTTTAATTCCGTAAATACTGTGGTACGAAATAGGGAAATATTTCGCCAAATGCGTTGCTATATATATATAAATCAAAATCGTTTGATTTATATTCTGAGTGTAACCGACATTCTATACAATACTAGTCGTTTGCGAAGAGTGCATTATATTCATCAAAATTACAAAAGATGACTCCAAATGTTGGGTATTGTTTGAATTCAAGCATTAAATTAAATTTGCCTTCAGTAACATTGCCCTTTCTTAGGATTACTCGTTTACATGCTCTACAATACATCAGCCCATTCTAAGTCATATGGACAAAAGCGAAACTGGCAGATGCACTTAAATTTAATTGTATAAATGAGCGGAGTATTTAAATTTGAAAAATGATTCCCATTGTGCGTCGAGAAAATATCCGATTCATTTACTTTAATATATTATAATACACGAAAATTTTACCGGGAAATTCTGTACAACTTTTGTCAATTACTTTGAATTCGAGGAAGGTATTTTCCACGTCGTTTTTTAGGTGTGTTTTATTTAAAACTCGATAGGTATTTACTCAACTATGCATTGTAGCTCAACAGACGGATTCGTGCATATAGGTCCCATTGAAACGCGGGACACGCTTCACCAGCTAGAAATAGAGACACAAAACACCGATAAATATCATTAGGTCGTAGAATAAAAGACGGATAAACATCCCTAAACCTGATTTGGAGTAAGTTATTCACGCAACGAAATGATTGATACAATCGGTTTAAAACTGGCGTTATGGTCACCCTTTTGGAGGTTTTATACGCAATTTATTTACTTATCAATGGGACGTTTTCATAGTTGCAAAATTGGGAAATGGAAAAATTGAATTTCTAAACTTCTACTTTGATTTCCGGACGTATATATTCCAATGCCAAAGACGCCAACTCTTCCAACGCCATCATCGGTACTATCTCAATGTATCTATTCCTTATATATCAAGATTATCAAGATGCCAAACGTTTGACATTATAAATAATGCAGAATATAATACAAAAATTACAAGGTACAATGGATTATATAAATTTGGTGAATTTAAATATAACATTTTCATGATATATATGAAGTTCAACCCAAAACAATCCGTAAAATCACTCTTGTTTTACCATAATTCAATGTGATATTTAGAATTCTATTTTAAAAAACTGCATTTGTCAAAACAGTTCGCGATAAGACTACTAAATTAATGTATCAAAAAACAAATTCTTGCCAATAATTCAGCTAACTAATGAGAGTACAAGCGGGCTGGAGTGGGGGTCTGAACTATAATCTCGAGGAAAAGCGGTTATCGTATAAATTAAAACAGTTCTGAATTCAATGCGCCCAATTATGTATCTAGTACCGCATTAAAAAGTTCACGCCATGTTTGCGTCGTAGCTGATATGTTTGCGTCTCACGTTGTACTTGTATAGGTGAGGCCGATAGACACTGCACATTCATGGCCAGTTGAAGACTCCATTGTAAAAAATATATCGATTCCACATGATTGTTGTAAGTATAAGTTTGACCCGTTTGTCTAATCTAATTTTCGTTTATACAGGAATTATCAAAATGCATGAGCTTAAATATCACTTATGGGGAAAACGTAAACAACTTTTTCATTTCATTGTTGTAGATGTAAATAAATTGCAATGCGTCTTTTGTGTATCGTAGCGCAGTCGCAGTACAATGTGAAACTTAATTCAACAACACTTCGAACAACGAAAAACTTCTAAAATAAAAATAGTTTTATTGGTATTTTGGGCAGAGTCATTTTGAAAAATCGAAACAAATTTCATCAAATTATCTACCGCAACGCTATCCATTCATCTGACGCGATAATTTAATTTTATGCCCAATCGCCTTAGTTTCGACCGATTTTTCTTTGCTAAATAATTCTTCAACCATGACAACACTAAACACCAAATTCGTGATATTTGTTAACCAAATTGATTGAAGCTGCTAGTTCAGCCGCGTTATTGTATATCTGCACAGTAACAAGTATATATATGATTTCAATCCATTGCCCGAAGACCAGAAATAAAAAAACCACATAATTAAGCTTATGAAAGGCAGTGTTGAAAAGACCCTATACACGATAAAGAGGTATCACTCACCATTCGCGTAACAACCGCAGCATATACATCATATCGATATGCATGCATCTGTTTTAGTGAATGATTGATGATTTCCACAAAAAATCTTATTAATGATACTGTTTCAATTGTGGTAAGATTTCTTCTGATGCGACTTGTATATTCAATTGAATTATTGAATCCTTTATAATAAACACCGGGGAGAAAATGCCATGCTTTAGTGGACGTGAAGCAATATACAAAATTCATCAGCAGAATAAAGAAACAATATACTGGGGGAATATATTGATAGTTCACGCCGCATTGACTTGCTCATCTAGTGTTCATTTACGACAAACCCATCCTGAATTGAGTGCAACATTTTTGCTTTAATTTATTTTAAAATTCAAATTAACAATACCTTTAAGTCGCTTTCCCGTGGTTATTATGCTGCCCAGAAATCGTAAATTTTGAGAAATTGAGATATTTTAGTTGTATGAAAGTTTAAAACCTTATAATCATCATAATTTATCACAGCCCTAAGGCAAGATATACATAGTTAGTATATAAACCGTTTCGTTGAAATTATCAAATGTTTTAAAATGTTCAGATTAAACAAGCATTTTTATAGGTGGTCTCATTTGTTTCAAAATAAAACAGAAACTGAAATTTCCTACCCAGTCCCAAATTTTAGATGAAAAAGTTGGAAATAAGCTCAAAAATTAAAAGCCAAGCACTTAAATATCTTAGGCCATCGTCCCTAACACACCGATAAGTCGATTAAACTTAAAATTCCTCAAACAGTATTTGTCAAGTCAAGTCAAGCGTTATAGGTCAAGCGATTTTGTGTGTGAGAATTGTCAAAATCATCACGCTGTTGCAACGCTGTTTGCGATAAATTGTCGGTACACTCGTTACCGAACACCGATAGAAACTAAAAGTGGTCCATATTGTTTTCAAAAAGTCACAGCTGAAATCAGGAATTATAAACTTTCGTTTTCGTACAAAGAAACTGTTTAAAATTGGTACATTGACCTCATTAATTTTTGATATAGAACATACTGATGGCAAAATCAGAACACCATGAAATATAGGCCTGTAACTTTAGATAGTTTCTTGAGAACATCTTTGATTGAATCAAAGACTCGAACGGGTTTCGACTGCTTTGTAGAAACCAAGGCGTTACACATTTACGCTGTTGGCGAGGTAGTACTGAACTGTCGTTCAGAACTGGAGGTACGGAGTAAGGGTTTCTGAATGGCCTATGCGTAATCTCTAACTAGAGATTCAAACATACTAACCCATGTGCGTTATCTAATAAGTCATCGTTCGTGTCGCGCTTTTGAACTTACCCCAGAGAATTCTCGTCTGGAATAATTACAAAATAAATCGTGTATTTCATTACCAATATTAGGATTAGTATCATCTTACAACAATACGATGCATCATTGTATGAATGTTAAACTAAGGCATGAATCATACATACCACCGCGTATCATTTCGTTGTTCATCTCGAAATACCTGAGCGGATATCCGCACATGCAAAATTTGCAAATACTAGTAGTGTTACTTTGGTATGCGATATCAGTGATTTGAACTGGAGTTAGGAGCTGAATTCTATGAGAATGTCTTTATGAGATTAAACGTATACCAAAGTGAGTGAGATCGCATACTAAAATGACACCGACTACAGTAGTATATTAACATTTACCTCCACATTCGCACTCATCGTCCCAATTTCTGCAGTCATTAACTCCGTTGCATTTTCGGATTTCGTCAATGAGAATACCATTACTGCACGAGAATTGTCCTCCTGATGGATTGCTTGTATTGTTTGCTGCAAATAGAATATTCCAAAAATTAGGTCATTTGGCTATTTGTGTGCGCGATGATTTAATATTTTTCCAATGAAAGTAGAGCCGTTAAGACATTCCACTCATTCATTTACAAGCCGTGGTCAAAGTCGTGGTAAAATTACCAATTACCGTCAGGAATTTGAACGGTTACTTTGTGATTGAATGGGATCCTTAGACGATAGGAAAATCAACAATTTTTATTCAAGTTCGCGGCACAGAATTTCATCACCTACACGCGGGTCTACACTACGAGAAAACACCTACACTACGAGCAAACGCCATTTTCATACTAATTTCATAGAATTAATAACTCGTACGATAAAATATATGCTTCTATTTGTATCGTATGAGTCAAACTGTCTATTTTAAGCGCAAATATATGGTAGTTCGGTAAATATTAAAAAAGAATACTTGTATTTACTAATTTCTACCAGACTGTATAAAGTCATTAATATTAACGTGCCTTAAAGGAAGAATCCATTTTTGGCCGACACTTGGTAGCTTAACTATGCGCAAATATTTTTAAATTTTGTTATAGTTGACAGCTCCGGGGTAATTTGATACCAACCTATATGGTGTTACACTTTATGTCCAGTTTTTCTATTGTTTCCTTTACATGGACGCTACTATAATAATATGACCGTTCTTTCGCAAGTAAAATTGTTATATTTGCAAGCGCCACAGGCAAAATATATTTATGGATTGTTACACGAAGTAACGCGCCATTGATCGAAATTTTTAAATAATATATTATGCTGTCTTACTTTGACATATTTCAGACCATAGTCGGCAAAATATCACGTTTTGCGAGAGATAAATTTCTCGGTTAAAATTTTCTTTTCCCATGAGATTTATCATATAAGGAATCACACTATCTCTGCGTCCAAATAATTTTCAATTTTGGTCGTTGGTTGTCTGAATACCATTGCGACTGGGAATTTTAAATTGGATTTAAGTCGCAATGTGGGTCAGAACACAAAGTATTTTATTTAATTTGGTTAAAGTAGGCCGACATTATTGTACGCTAAACAATTGAAAGTTTATATCATCGAATCTTTTACGACAGGTGAAACAATGGAGTGTGAATATTAAGTCATATTATCATATATGTTAAACATAAGGTCTAGCTATAGGTAATTGAATTTTTTTTCTTGCGCTCCTAGTAGAATACTCAGAAAAATGTCCGAATAAAGAAACTTACAACCATCAACTACATTCCCGGAAAAACATTCTATTTTTCAGTCTAATTGTTCTTTGACCATAACCCTATTTTAAAACTATACTCTCTACACATAAACAAAACTACATTTTCTTGTGGTGGTGAAATAACTATAATGCGCTTTATAATCTTTAGAAAATGCGATTCGACTGATCTGTACTTTTGTATCTCTGTATTCATAAGTACAAATTGATGTCGTATAAACAGTAGAATGAAATCAACATCTTTTCACAAATACTATTCCAAATTCTAAACTTCCTAGTACTGAAATATTGCCTACCTGATTGTACAGCAATCGCTACCGTGGATAGTGATAGAACGGTTACGACAAGCTCCATCCGCGACGCGAGATTTTCAAATACAAAGCAGCTGACGCGCTGTCGCAACCATGTTGAATATCGGGAGAAAGGCACATTGATTTGCTCTCGGTCGGGTTACTGCGAAATGAGTATTGCACGAATCTGTGCAGTTTTGTTCTTCCTGCTTTGCTGATTTATGCGGATTTCGACAACGGAAACATACGCTTTTTCAGGTATTGAATTTCCGCACCCTCATTCTCTGTTATTCTGTCTGTCTGTGCGTTTAGCTGTAGCGTCTGACCTGCTGGCCCGATCTGGTTGAAATTCCTCACGTGGGTTATGCTCTCCCCCAGTGATTTGCGTTTCGCCAATAGTCCGGATTGGTGTCTTGTTTCCATGGCATCAGCGAAAAAACGCGCCGATCGTTAAGAAATTTCTATTTTTTTTTCACAATTTGTCGCCATTATCTCATAAACTACCTCGAAAATTGAAACTCCAAGACGCTACCCCTCCAGCGAAGTATATATTCTTTCGAACAAGCTATTTTCATCTCGTTTCCATAAACTGGGCAAGCCTTAAAAATATTAGGGAACCGTCTTGTTAGAGTTACTATTTAAAACAATAAAAGCACAGACAAATATTGTTTCATTATTTTAAAATGCAGTAGTGTTCACATTAGTAGTATTCTGATACACAAACAACCAATTATTTACCATTAATATAACAGTCCTGTTTGGATACAGGGATTTGAAAGAATGGTGTCTTGTTGATGGCAATGTTGACTTCTCCGTAAACATTTTTTCGCTTATAACGCCAGCCATTAGAAAATATCGTAGAATGAAACCTAAATTAACGTGACGTCTCAATGGTCATTGGAATTGGGGATACCTTATATCCAGTGGGGAGATTCAGCCGGTCCGCAACGGTTCTATAGAACCGTCTCACGGAATTTTATGAGATTTATGAGATGAGTAGCGTGTTTTCAGTAGATCATACACCTTCAGGTTTTTAAGTTCATTATCAACGAGTATATAATATATACAGCAATATACATAGAGACAATCCTCAACATCATCAAAAATTTTGATGTTATTTTTGAACTAATGATGCTTACTTAACCATTATTTTGAAATGTTAATTGAGATGTAATTAAAATTAATGTTTGTAACAGAGCCTGCTGAAAAATATGACTTTTGTGATGGAACCTGCTGAAAATTTTGAATCCCACCACTGTTTATATCCATCCCATTTCTATACTATACTGGAAAGTACAAGCTGCAACAACAAAAATCAGTTGCAAATCATAAACAGAAGAGCTTTTTTGTATTTGAAAAATAGTTGATTGAATATCATAAAGCAAATAATGTAAATCACAATTTTGTTGGGGTGGTCAAATATAAGCCAGGGATAATCAATCGTGTATCAAAATATCGCTGATCTTGCCTCAAAGGAGGTCTTATAATTTTTTCATCTACATTATCTGGTTATCTCAAGAGTATTTACATTACGTCTCAAGTGAAACGCATTAATTTCTCCTCAGTTGCACCCACGTATTTATGTTTTTCAACGCTCACGCGGGACAAAATATGACGCAGAGCTTCCATATATTCATAGCTCGAACGCTTAATATCTTTTGTTTAACGGAATATTGTTTTGAAACATATTCTGTAGTTACACTCTCACAGATCCTTGAGCAAAGTTACAATTCATAAAATCTGGGATTTTTCAAAAATATAATTTCCGCAAAAAATGTCCTTTAGATCATGGTTTGGAACCAGAACACGGTATTTCATGTAAGCTTTGATGCAGGTTCAGACCTTAAAATAATTCATTTTTTAGATTGCTTCAATCATCTTTGGCGTGGCGATAGATATATATACGTATCTAGTTTTCGTTTTTACTTGATAATTAGCAGTCCTTTAGACGTAAACCCTTTGGGCTGGAAGAGTCGGAGAAACTTAACCTCTCTAAACAATTTATTACCTCAAAGATGACATGGTGAGGTATAGCAATTGCATCCGGAACCAATTCAAAATTGCAGTTAAACAATGCACTGATTCATTTTAAATTTTATTCCATCGAATTTTCAGTATTCACAATTACCTTTTTTAAAACTTGGAAAATCACTGCGCCAAGTGAAACGCTCATTTTATTTGTCATGTTTCTAACATTTTCCAGTCGCTGCTAATCCTCCGTATTTTTCCTACTCGCTTCAATTAAGTTAGTTTTTTAATTCTCCCCCATCTGCGTACAAAATGGATTATGGATTCATACTGACTTTAATAAATGAATGTAGGTATAAAGACAGCCAAAAATATTTATCAGCTGGCATTATTCTAATACCTCGCCCGTAAAGAGCTTATTATCTCATTGTGAATTCAAGTTTGATTATTGAAATCAAATACGTTAAAACATGGATAATTCCAACATTGTTTACATTGGTATCAAGTTTTATATCACTTTTTATATAGCAAATCCACACGTAGTTTAACAGTTTCCATTTTGAAAACGAATGAAAATAAAACTTATTAACAACCCATATCATTAAGTGCGGCGTATCTGTGATCTAAAATTAACAGCTCAATAAGAGTCCGTTACGCTGGAATTATGACATAATTTGGTCAAAAATATGAAACTATATGATCATCGTTTGAAGCACGGTACTGTTTAAATACTTCAAATGAGTGGTGTTCCACACAGGTCGCACCACGTCTAAGAATTTAGTTTGATCGCTTTGTTTTTGAGTATTGTTTAAAATTGGTTTCAGATATGTTGTACTACACCGGACGAACGATGAATTTTCGTTTATTCGTTCACGCTAAACATCGATTTTTGTAAGATATTTCTATTTGACATGTGATGATATTTTAAAAACATAGATTACGTGCGTGAGATATGCAACATTAACGATGATTATACGCCTTAATAAATTATTTACACAAATTCAAATTTCGTAATACACTAGTATCGTTTAGACTAGTTCCAGACTTGATATACATTTTTTAAGTCTTGGTGGAAAAGAAGAATGGCACCGTATTACGCCAATTCACGATGGTCATTCTAAAAAATCGATTAATGTATTTATGTTCGACTAACTTTCAATTATATTTTTCGTCGAATTTCTAGCGATAATTGTTGGAAAACGAATTTATTGATCATTTCAGCAAGTGAATTTAATAACCCAATCACGCATTTATTCGCTAAACATGAAAGCATCATACCATTGCCTATATTTGTGTAATTAGCGGAATTCACAGGAGTAGTGACAACGGTTGGACCTATTTTGGTATAAACAATACTGAGCTGAATAACAGGTCAATATTTAGATTCAGCACACTGCGAGTGATATTTTGTAAGTTTTAATTATTTAATTGCAGGTCTACATTCGAAATATTTTCATTTCAATATTAAACACATGTATATGTCTTGTCTTTTTTGTTAAATCGTTATATATATGAGAATAAATAATATTTCATATGAGATATCGAGTAGCAAAATGAAATCACTCAAAAATAATATATATATATATTGCATTTTTTATAGCGCTTCATTCTGTTAGATAATATGACTTTTAATCGGGCACGAATTAGACCTATAGATGATTTTCTAAATTCTTGTTGAGGTTGGTGTTGTCGTGAAAAATTGTCAACTCTGCAACTATTGGACCAACCGAATTTAAATTTTCATTTAGAACGACATTAATTTTTATTATTTTTTTTTAAATTCCTTTCTTAGTTCTGTTAAACCCGACTTATAACCACAAATTTTTCTTTTTTATTTTATTTCGTGATAACACTTTTTATGAAACATGTGAACCTTACCGTATTAGTACGGATGCACGAACTTGATGTCCCTATGTCCGAGCATTGTACTTCTGCTTTAGTAACTCATAGTTTACGTAAAAAGGTAAATATTTACATTGAAGTGGTCGTATATGTTCGACTGTCCGGTAGACGGCGTTGAAGAGAAGTACTGAGTACCAGTCGCCGGAATGCAACGACAAAAGAATAGATTTTGGGTACTTGAGTTTAAGCAACTTTCAAGCCTCGGCTCATTCGATCAGTTTTGACACTTAGCATAACTAATATAGAATTCCTATAATAGATTAATGTGGTTTGGTAATACTTTAAAGATCGGTTCAATTTCCTAGATTAAACGTGAGACACATACATAAGGCTTCGATAAACACTACGACAATGTACTGAACTGAAACATCGAAAACTCGTTTGAAATAAATTGTGACATCATCATTTTAATTTAATATTTATTTTATTAGATGTTCGGCTTAATGCGAGTATTTTGATCAAAAATATGTGCATGAACTTAGTTTTACTACATTAAAATAAGGCTCACAAATTTTCCTGCAGCAGCGAGTTTAATTTATTATCAAAATACGAATTTAGAATATGCTAATATCTGACTAAAATATTATTATTTTGTATTCATGATAACTTATTGCAATTTGTTTGAGGGAAATATATGTGTGAACTAATGAAAAGCGTTTGACCATTTAATCCTATAAAATAATACACTTTCATTATGTGTGCCAAGTCATTAATTAATAAGCTTGCCAAATTTGTTACACCCTTTGTAAAGTGGTCATCTAGAGTTTGCCCAAGGTCTACACACTGACCACAATACCCCAATCTAATCATATGCTAAATAATGACAGGATAAAAATAAATGCAACAACAGTTTTATTTTGACTATTTGACAAAGTGCATGTAAGTGTGGTTTTCCCAAGGACAATGCTAAGAAGACCTTTTCCTCAATTTTGCGATTGTTAGGTAGTTACTAGTAATGCGTATATTTTTGCTTATAAACAATCATCTTAAGTTACAGATATTTTTATATCGCATAGCATAGGATAAAACAAGGTCGCTAAAACAGGTTTGACATCGTGCTCGGATTTTGCAAATCGGATTACTATAATCGGTTTAAAATGCCGATTTAAACAGTAATTTGTGTACATGGCCACGACATTAAAGATTTAAACTGTCTCAGTGTCTCGTCTCGCTTCATAATCTGAAACTAAACTTTCAATTTATACTTTAAAACTGCACTTAAATCTAAATCTGAGCAAGTGTAGGAATATAGTTTTTTATTATTATTTCTGGAAATTTACAAGTTGGAAAAGGTTAACTTGTGATTTTCAACTGTTCCATTTCATATAATCAATCCATTACTTCGTCTATAGACACACAGGTTTTGTCAGGGAATGAATTTGGGACTTGTCTT